TCCCCCGGGATGCTCTCTCAACTGAGGTCCTTGGGCTTCTAGCTAGGGATCTAGGCAGGGTCTCAGCCAAGGATGACTATCCATCTCTATGTCCCTGCTTACCACCTATCCACAGCCACCTGATTCCCACTTACCGTGGGCAGTGTGTCCTCACTATGTGGATAGGAGGGAGCAGAGGAACCTAATCATGCTGAACTCGATGGTCATCAGTTGGTAGCTGAAGGAGGTACTCTGGGGGAGGGGTTATTGGGTTCTGTGCCATGAAGTCCCTACTCTGTATGAGCAACAGTAAAAGGCTTTAGCTGGGTCTTCCAAGACTTCCACCTTCCCAAAGGCCTGGTGAGGCAGTATCAGGCAATGGTTAAGGACTGGTTTCGATCCTAATTCTCCATATTCATGTGATCTTGAGCAAGCTATTTAATCCCTGGAACCTCAGTTTCATCATCTGTAAGATAGGGAGTTCATAGAACTGATGAGAAATTCAAACAGGACAAGGCTCAGGTGCTTACCTGCTGGGTAGCAATGGTCTCAGTCACCAGATCTGCCAGATCATCGGTTGTGGTGGCGATTAAGTGAGTAATGCATGTGAAGTGCTCAAATCAGGGCTGGCAGAGCACACACAGTAAGAGCCAAGAGCAGCAGCAGGAGTAGTAGTTCTTGTATTCATCCTCATACTAATAGTACCTGCGTGGCAATTGCAGCATAGACTCAAATGAATGGCAGTTTAGTCCTGGGGAAAAGCAGATTCCTCTCTCTTTCACAGGCTTGTGAAAGTTGCATGCCAGGGACTGGGGGCATAGCTCCAGTGGTAGAGTATTTTCTTAGCAAGCATGAGGCCCTGGGTTCAATACCCAGTACTGAAAAACAATGCAAAAATATTGTATGCCAGGCAACATAGCCGGCACTCCTTATGGAGGCTGGTTCAATTTGGTCAATTTAATTGCATTCTTTTTTTTTTTTTTCAGTGCTGGGGCTTGAACTCAGGGCCTACCCCTTGAGACAATCCACCAGCCCTTTTTTGTGGTGCATTTTTTTGAGACAGGGTCTCAGGAACTATTTCCCTGGGCTGGCTTCGAACCATAATTCTCCTGATCTCTGCCTCCTGAGTAGCTAGGATTCTAGGCCTGAGCCACTGGTGCCCCAACTTCATTTGCATTCTTGAGGGCTCATCGTGGAGACGAATCAGGGAAGGTTTCATGGTCGGGGAGGCTGCTGGAGATGATGAGGCAGGTCAGACCATCTCAGGCAGTGGGAAGCGGAGGGTCAATTTTGCGGAGTGGCTGTACTGGAGGGGCCATCTTGGCTGACCAGAAGGCACATCTCCCAACCATGCAGCTTAGGGTTCCCATTTACAGAGGCAGTAACAAGTTTAGGATGTCTCAAGGTCCTGAGGAGTCTAAGGTTGGGAGGTTCTCTTTGAAGCTCAAGATGTTCCCTAGCCCCTGCCTGAGCATTACTTTACATTTGGGAAGCTACAGAATAGGGGTGCCTTGCCTGCTAGGAGCAGAACCGTGCCTCCCCACCTTTAGGATGTCGATCTGGGGTCCTTCAGAGCCCCTCCCGGGCATAGAACTCCCATTGTTCCAGCCCCCTTTTCTTACCCTAGACTGGCCAAACCGGTTCTGGGAAAGGGGGGTGGGGAGCAGGCACGTTGAGACAGCCGCCTTCCTCTCTGCGAGGTTCCCTCTGCCTTCGCCTCCCCCGTCCCTGCCCCACACAATACCCAGGAGCTTGCACTGCCCGGCTCAGGGGCCATGCTGACATCGCCCCCTGAGAACTTGGCAGCAACCTCAGAGCCCCCAGGGTGGCCTGTAGTCCTGGATTGTGCCGGCAGCTGGACCGAGCTCCCTGGCTGAGGTAGGGCCCCTGCTGGGCGCCAGCAGCCCCATCCTCCTCCCACCCTTCTTCCCAAGTGAGTCCTTTGTGTTGCTTGCCTGGCTTCTGCTCCCAGCCCTGACCTGCTTACGGCCTCCTGGGGCTCTGCACACTGCTCCTCAGCCTGGATCCCCTTTCCAGCCAGGACCTCCCACTTGCTTTTATCTTTTAAGGGGCAAAGAGCTCTGGCAGGGTCCCTGTTCCTCTGGGCAGCAGGGCAAGGGCCACTAGACAGGGGACAGGGAAAAGCTGGGTGCAGGGGCCAGAGGTGCTTTCCCTGAACCACAATAATGTCCAGGGACACTCTTTGCCAAGTGGGCCCATTTCCCTCTGCGGTTAGAAATGCCCACTGGCTGGGACTCTCCTTGGCCTGTGCCCATCCTTCTTGGCCTGCAGACTTATGATGACACAGGTTTATTAGAGGAGACAGCTGGAGGCCTTTGGGACCACTTTACAGATGAGGATACTGAGGCCCAGGGATGGGTGGTGACCTGCCTAAAGCCACACAGAGCTGGTCAATGTCAACATGGGGCCTTGAACCTTGGCAGGGCTTATTTTTTTTTAACCTTTGGGTCACAGAGTAACCTTGCCTAGCGGGCACTACAGTCTGTCCTGTGATCATGTCCTGGACAGGTAATATCCCTTCTCCCTGTGGTCAGTTTGTTTCCTGAGGTTTTTCTCATCCTTTATCCCCACCTCTAAGAGATTAACTACACACAATATAAACCCAACTCTGGTTCTCCTAGGTCCCCAACATTAAGACTGGGTGGGCCACAGGGCTGGCCTCCCAGCTAGATGGATCATTGTCATAGCCCCATGGCTGGGGGAGTTGGGGGCTGATTTACTCCTGACCCCTGCTTGGGCCCTCCCCTCTGCACACACTCCCAGCCTTTTCCTCTGAGGCCTTACTTGGGTTGCTTCTGCCCTGAGGTCTCAATGTTTTGCTTATTTATCCCTGTAAATGAAGGGAGGGCCCCTTCCTACCCTCCAGGAGCTTTCAGAAGCCAAGGGCAGAGGATCTCCCAGAAACCAAGGGGGGAGGGGCTCCTGTATGTGCTTGCACAAGTGGGGCTTCTGTGTTGATGACTTCTGATTCCCCAAAAGAGACCTGTCTGGTGGACAGACAGCTAGATAGTTCCCCTCCCACATGCTCCTATGTCCTGTGTGTTCATTTTCCCCTGCAAAACCATTGCCCACCTGGAGGAAGACTGATGATAAACACTGCAGAGTGACCATCATGACTGGCTTGCCCATTCCGGCTGGGCACTCTACAGGCTGAAGGGACAGCTCCTTCCTTAGGAGCAGCCAGCCGCTCCCAGTTGGGGACTAGAAGAGGGGAAGTAGGAGAGGTGCTGTGCAGAGACCAGCCATTCCCACTGGGTCCTCCCTCCCTCTCTTCAGGGTCTCAGCCAAGAATCACTTCCTACCTATGTGCACTGTGCTTCTGGGAATTTTAGCCATGCAGCAAGTTTAGCTAGTACCTCCTCCAGGAAGCCATCCTGGCATACTGAAGTTGAGTTGGGCCCAGCACCCTGCTCTGATGGTGCTTCTTGCCAACCCAGATTGCAACTGCTTTTGTTTTTGGCTCTCCCACCAGACTGGCAAGCCCACAGGGCATGAATTGTTTGTCCATCTGTCTTCCTGGGTTTTTGTGGGCTTCACGTCTGTCTCTGAGTATCTAGACTGTCTGAAAGTTTCAGTGTCTCCCTCTGTCTCCATCGCTGGGTCCCTGAATGTCTCAGCATCTGTGGTTTTTCTGTTTTAGAGTGTTAGGGGTCTCAGTTTCTGAGTTGCTGTTGAAATGGCCTCCGTTTCTCCAGGTCTTCCTCTGTCTGTATCCTGGTCCTGCCAGGCTGGGCACTGCCCCTTTGGCCCAAGGGGCCTCTTGGTGGTGGGGGGGGGGTCCTTGCTGCCTGGCCTGCCACAGCAAGGCCAGACTAGGGTAGGCCCCCGCCCAGCCCGCTGCCTGCTCCCTCCCTCCTGCTTGCCTCACCACAGGGTTTGATGAATCAAACTCTTTGTCTGGGTGGGATCTCCCCCAGCCAGCTGGGCAGAGAGAGGGCTTCCCTTGCCGGAGCAGCCGACCAGCATCAGCAGCGGGCCTCAGCTTCACTGGAGAGGTGAGGGGCAGGAGGGGGACTGGCAGAGGGCCCCAGGGCAAAGGCTGTGGGGACTTGAACCCCTCGGATCATTATTCTGCCCAGAGGCTCTGGCAGACTCCCTGGGAATGATGTCCTGCCAAGGAAGGACCCATTTAGCCTGGCAGGATCTAGAGACAGTGAGCTGGGGTTGGGATAAACCCCTCTCTCCCCCTAAGCTGGGGGGCTGGGCTACCTCCCTGCCTTTCTCTGGGAGGACCCAGCCTGATGTGGGTGGTGGCCCGCCTGCCAGTCAGTGACCCTCCCAGCCAGCTTGGCATGGGTGTGGGCATCACTCAGCACTGAAGGCCACAACTCTGAGTTTGGAAGGGGATGGATAACAGCCAAGCAAGGACTTGTGGGCCCGTTGTGTTTGTGTCTGCTTCCTGGTGTGTACCTGCAACTGGAACGGTGTGAGAAAGCTTGAGTGCGTGTGTAGATAACCATGGATCAATGTATGTGTTTGGAAGATGGGGTCTCTGGAAATGTGTAAAAAGGTATGTATGTCTGTGAATTTGAAATGTCTGAATGTATCTCTGAAAGGATGTGGGTCAGTGTGCATACTTGGGAGAAAATGTGTGCTGTATGAGTTGGGACATGGATTTGTGTGACAACATATGTATCTGTATGTCTGGTCATACGTCAGTGTGTGTTAGAGAACACATAAGGTGGCTAAAAACACAGACATGAAAGATGGGATGCCTGTGTGAAAGTACTGGCTCTACTACCAATGGAGTAACAACTTCTCTGTGCCTCACTTTCTTCATCTGTAAAATGAGGATAAAACAGCATCCACTCATTGGATTATGAGGATTAAGTTAGGTGACATGTGGAAACCTGTCATCATTCAGTAAGTGCATGTGAGTGTGTTTGTGCAGGTATGTGTACACATGTGTATACAAGGGTTTGTCCAGACCTCCAGGACATGGTGGCTTACTGTCCAGCCCTACTATCCTGTGTCTGGATCTGATACTTTCTCCCTTGCAGGCCCAGGTGGGTGGCTGAGCAAAGGAGGAATGGACTGTGGGCCACCTGCCACCCTTCAGCCTCTCCTGGCTGGGCCACCAGCCACTGCCCGCCGTCCAGTAGCTGTGTGTCAGCAGGAGAGTCTGTCCTTTGTGGAGCTGCCAACCCTTCAGTCCTTGAGCCCTGTGTGTCTGGACCTTTTCCCTGTCACCTCGGAGGAGCTACGGGCTCCTGGCAGCCGTTGGTCCCTGGGGACCCCTGCCCCACTCCAAGGACTGCTATGGCCACCATCCTCAGAAGGCCCAGATATCAAGACCTCTACCAGTGGAGGGATGCGGCCTAGTAGGGCTGGCAGCTGGCCCCACTGTCCTGGTGCTCAGCCCCCAGTTCTGGAGGGACCCTGGAGTCCTCAGCACTCACAGCCGCAGCGCCGGGCCAGCCATGGCTCGGAAAAGAAGTCAGCCTGTGAGTCACCCTGGTGGGGGGGTGGCCCACTGGGGCAGACAGGGGAGGGGCTGGGTAGCTCTTTCCAAACCCTTTAAGCTCCAGAGTTCCCCCAAAGTCAAGACAAGTGGTAGATTTTAGTGACAAGAGAATGAGTGCTCAGGGAGGGCAAGTGACTTGTCAGGGTTACACAGCACATCTGGCTGTCCTGGGCATGCTGACCTCTTTGTCCACCCTTTGCCCTCTGTGGTCAGGCTTGTGCTTTCTCTACCCTCTTGCTGATCCCATTTTCTCTGGCATGGTGCCTGAACTGCCCTGGTAGCTCAGAGCCACAGGGCAGCAGCAGGGAGGAGGTTGGGAAGGACCCCAGTGCGTGCCATTCTGTGCCTCCCCCCACCCCATTCAGGGCGCAAGGTGCGGGTGTACCAGCGTGAAGAGACCACCGGCTGTCCGGAGACCCGTGATGTCTTCCTGGAGCCGGGCCGACCTGCACGGGAGCAGGTCTTGAGCACAGAGGAGCCCGAGCCGCTTGAGCTGTCTGGGACGACCCGAGTGGGCCTCGAGGGACCCGAGCGCAGGCGCTTCTCAGCCTCGGAGCTGATGACTCGGCTGCACTCTTCCCTGCGCCTGGGGCGGAGTTCAGCAGCCCGGGCACTGACCTCAGGGTTAGGTACTGAAGCAGCGCGGGAAGGTACCAGCTACTGCCTTGGGCCCTGAGGAACAGCCAGATGCGGGGTGGTGCGCCGCCCACTCACTAAACACCTGCAACTGGGTCTTGGTCAGCTGGGGTGTGAGGCTGGGTGCCCAGGGCCACTCTCTAGCCTGCGGGTCCTCAAGTCTTGTCCTCTGTAGGGAAAGCGTCTGGAAGGGAGTCTCGAAGTGTAGAGATGAGGGTGGACAGTGCACCACTGCCGGCACAAGTTGACACAAGCGAGGGCCATGGCAGCCGACTGGAGCCCAGGTAACCACCTCTCTGGAGCTCAGGTTCCAGGCAGGATGCAGACAAAGAAGGGCCCTGACACTCTCTTTCTTAGGCTGGACGGACAGGAAGAGCCACCTCCCGGTCCCAACGAGCGGCGACAGTCACGGTTCCTCCTTAACTGTACGTGCAGAGTTTCTGGGAGGGGGGTCACAGAGGAAGAGGGGCTGAGATGTGAAAACCAGGGAGCCGGGATTTGAAGATCTAGGAGTTAGGGATCTCGTGAGAGGGAGAGAATTGAGTTCTTGGCGTCTGGCAAGTGGGCTAGCACGCAGTAGGTGCTCAGTGAGTGAAAAGGAATGAATGAATTCACCCTGAACCAGAGCAGAGGCTTGTTGAGTGCGGCGGGCTTTGGGGGGAACGTGGAGGAACCCGGGGGGTGGGGTGGGGGCAGAGGAGGGGGTCCTGGCTGGCGGGCATCCCACGGCCCTGCCCCGCCCCCTCCCCGCCCAGCGGTCCTCTACCAGGAATACAGCGACGTGGCCAGCGCCCGCGAGCTGCGGCGGCAGCAGCGCGAGGAGGAGGGCCCTGGGGACGAGGCGGAGGGCGCGGAGGAAGGGCCCGGGCCGCCGCGCGCCAACCTCTCCCCGAGCAGTTCCTTCCGGGCGCAGCGCTCGGCGCGAGGCTCCACCTTCTCGCTGTGGCAGGACATCCCCGACGTGCGCGGCAGCGGCGTCCTGGCCACGCTGAGCCTGCGCGACTGCAAACTGCAGGAGGTGGGCGCCGCGGCCTCGGCGGGCCAAGTCGGGGCGGTCCCGGGGCGGAGTGGGAACTGAGTTGGAGGAGGAGGTGGACTTGGCTGGAAGAGCGGACGGAAAAGCCAGCTGAGAAGTTAGACAAGCGGGCGGAGAGCGGCGGGGTCATCGGGAGCAAAAACACGTGGTGGGCGCGGGATTGGGCGGGATCAACGAGAGGGCGGGGCTTTTATGGCAGGGTGCACCGTGGGCGGGGTGGTGGGCAGGGCTAGGGGAAGGGGCGGGGTCGACGACTCCATCTGGGTTTATACTTGAGGCAGGAGGCAGGGACTTCGGCCCGTCAGGACGCCAGATTAGGAGTGGGACTAGAGATAGGGGTGAGATAGGGTGTCTATACAGGTGGCGTCTTGGCGGTGGTAGAGGCAGGGGGTCCAGGGTGGGCTGGCCCAGCCCTTACAACCCTGCGTCTGTCCTCTTTCAGGCCAAGTTTGAGCTGATTACCTCTGAGGCCTCATATATCCACAGTCTGTCGGTGGCCGTGGGCCACTTCTTAGGCTCCGTGGAGCTGAGCGAGTGTCTGGGGACTCAGGACAAGCAGTGGCTATTTTCCAAACTCCCCGAGGTCAAGAGTACCAGTGAGAGGTTAGGGAGTGGTCTGGCCTGGCTGGGTGAGCACCACACCTGTGGTTGAGTGGGCTCCAAGATCTGGGGTGTCTGCCCTGGTCCTGACCCCTTGCCCGCCCCTCAGGTTCCTGCAGGACCTGGAGCAGCGTCTGGAGGCAGATGTATTGCGTTTCAGCGTGTGTGATGTAGTATTGCACCACTGCCCTGCCTTCCGCCGAGTCTACCTGCCTTATGTCACCAATCAGGCCTACCAGGAGCGCACCTACCAGCGCCTGCTGTACGGGCAGTTCTGAAAGGGGGGTGGCAGGTGCTCAGGCAGGTGTAGGCACAGAGAATCGGGTGAGAATGGGTGACTGGGAGAGGAGGCTCCCTGAAAGAGGCTCTGTAAATGAGACCCACCCTATGGGGGCAGGATATATGTGCTGAGAGGCATCTGAAGACCAGTGGGTTGACAGGATCGTGGATCCCCGGGGTCTGGACGACATGTGACTCCAGACCTCTTCCAATTGTCCAGCCTGGAGAACCCCAAGTTCCCTGGTATCTTGGCTCGCCTGGAGGAGTCTCCGGTGTGCCAACGGCTTCCTCTCACCTCTTTCCTCATCCTGCCCTTTCAGAGGATCACAAGGCTCAAGATGCTGGTGGAGGTACCAAGGGGCCCCAGGATGTAGGGAGGGCTGGTAGGCGACACCCTTGACCTCTACAGCCCCTCCAAGGATGGGCAAGGTCACAAGCGGAGGATGGATGGCCTGTCTCAGTGCAGTGATGTTACTCTACAGAATATCTTGAAGCGGACAGCACAGGGCTCCCAAGATGAGGACATGGCCACCAAAGCCTTCAATGTGCTCAAAGAGGTGAGCTCAAAAAAAAAAAAAAAAAGAGGTAAGCTCAGCAGGGCTGGGCTATGGGCTTCCAGAGGTCTTCCAGGACCCCTGGCTCACTCTAAAAGAACCCCCAGCCATAGAGTCTCTGGTCCCCAGGTGGGGGAGCACCTGGGCTCTAAGACTGGGCTCTGGGAGCCCAGGTTTGAGGATTGCAGGTGACTGCCCCATGATCTCCCCAGCTGGTGCAGGAGTGCAATGCCAGTGTACAGTCCATGAAGAGGACTGAGGAGCTCATCCACCTGAGCAAGAAGATCCACTTTGAGGGCAAGGTATGGGCTGCGGCTGGTGGGATGGGGTCCATAAGGGCAGCTCTGGCTCCCTCCCTTCCCCGGGAGACTGCAGGCCAGCTGGTCTCTGCGTCCTGACCCCCATCCTGTGTTGTGCCAGTCCTCTCCCTTGTTGACTCTGTCCCGCAGATCTTCCCGCTGATCTCACAGGCCCGCTGGCTGGTTCGGCATGGTGAGCTGGTGGAGCTGGCACCACTGCCCGCAGCACCTCCTGCCAAGCTGAAACTGTCCAGCAAGGCAGTCTACCTGCACCTCTTCAATGACTGCCTGCTGCTCTCCCGGCGGAAGGAGTAAGTGGAGACAGGGGACAGGTTGATGAAATTGGGCTTCCTTCTTCACCTCTACTGAACTCTGCACCCCAGCTAGTGCCAGGCTGAGCTGCCAGGACACCCTGAGCTTTTGAGGATCCCAAAGCAAAGGCAGATAGTGAGATGGGTCCATTTTCTAGACAGGAAGGTCAAGGGCTGTCCTGTACGGAGGACTTGAAGCTGCTGTGAGCTTAAGCCAGTGGCAGCAGATGAGAGGTGGTCCTGAGGCCCAGCTCTTGCCTGAGTCACAGCAAGAACTGCTGGCATTTATGCAGCCCCTGCCTGGTGTTGGGTGTACTGAATAGATTGGTCCCTTCAGTCCTGAAGACGCCGTCCTGGGAAGCAGGCTCCCTGGTAGTCTCAAGTTCCGGGAGCTAGTGAGGAAAGTTGCAAGCAAGGTGGTGGCCAGTTTTGTCTAACGCTGGACCTTAGGCTTTTGCCCACTGTCCCATCCTGCCTTTTACCTATAAAGCAGAGGCCACCATGTAGGGAAATCCAGAGTGATAGCCTCATGCCTAGGGAGCATGCTCAAGTCCTAGCTGGGATTGTTCTGAGAGAGGGGGAATAAAGTAAGTCATAGGCTGAGTGGGATGAAGGGTGAGCATCTTAAGCTGAGAGTTCATTCCTGATTTATTTTTCACTCAGTTAACATCCCCAAACCCTGTTCCCTATCAGGCTGGGTGTTGGGGACATAAATATAAATGAGACTTGTTCTCTGCCCACAGGACCTCTCAGACCAGTGAAAATAACATCCTGATAACCATGTTAGGGTCTTTTTTTTTTTGGTGGGACTGAAGTTTGAACTCAGGGCTTTCACCTTGCAAAGCGCTCTATTGTATTGCTTAAGCCACACTTCCAGTTCCTTTTGCTCTAGTTATTTTAAAAGTGGGTTCTTGTAAACTGTTTGCCTGGGCTGGTCTCAAACCTTGATCTTCCTGATTTCAGCTTCCCAAATAGCTAGGATTACAGGCGTGAGCCACCAGCACCCGGCTGATGTTGGGGGTTCTGATGGGAGGGTGAACTGAGGCGGTTCCTGGTGTGGGGCTGAGAATCAGTAAAACTATACGGAAGGGACATTTGATTTTTTTTTTTTTCCATCCCGGGGATTGAAATCTACTTCATGCTTGCTAGGCAAGTGCTCTATCACTTGAGTCATGCCCTCAGTCTTTGAGCTGAGTTTTAAAGGATGAATAGGAGTTTTCCAGGTAGAGAGAAGTTGAAAGCATGTCTGGGGTTGGAGACTGGTCTCCATCACCTTCTACCTCTGCCTATGATAAGCAGGAAGGGAGCTCCTGTCCCTGTTAGGGACTTTGGTGGCTACTGGGAGATGGTACCCTGTGGCCAGGTCTCTCTGGGGAGGTGGCTGGAAGGGTTGAAACCCTTTCTCACCTCGTCCATCAACTCACCTGGTCTGGGTGTAGCACTGGGGGTCCAGGCCCAGGCTCAGGCCAGGCTGACCCTTCTCCATCCTGCAGGCTTGGGAAATTTGCTGTTTTTGTTCATGCCCGGATGGCGGAGCTGCAGGTGCGGGACCTGAGCCTGAAACTGCAGGGCATCCCTGGCCACGTGTTCCTGCTCCGGCTCTTGCATGGGCAGCATGCCAAGCACCAGCTCCTGCTGAGGGCCCGCACTGAGTGAGTGGAGGGGTGGGTGAGGGAGTCCCAAAGGCCTGTACAAGTAGGCTAGGGGTGACCCCCAAGTGCCCATGTGGGCACAGAGCAAGATTGGGTGGGTCCAAGAGTCCCAGCAGGTGTGCCAAGGGAGGCTGCTACCTCCTCCCTGGGCCCTGAGCATCTCCTGGGTGCCAGCCACTGTGCCTTCTATCTCTGGCTTCAGGATGATATCATGAGGCAGGACATGGGCAGAGCTGGCATCCAGAGGGTTCAGAGCTGGAGGGGACTACAGGCTTGGGAACTGACTGTGGGGTAGACCGAGGTGGAGTAGACATGGCCCAGGTCCTAGGCCTGGACCTCATTCCCACTTCTCCCAGTACTGGCTTCAGCACCTGGCTCTATTCTTGGCAACTTTGCCTGTTGTGACAAAGGCCTCCCTCCCTTAGAAGTGAGAAGCAGCGGTGGATCTCAGCCTTGTGCCCTTCCAGTGCCCAGGAGGACAAAGAGGTCATCAGCGAGGGGGAAGGTAGGTGCTGCCACCCCCTACCTCCCCCATGTGCCCTGGACCAGAAGCCTCACTGCTTTCCCCTCCCTGCCAGTGGCCCCTCCAGCCACTGGGAGGGGAGATCCTCCAGCCTGAGGTGGTCAGGGTGGCTCTGAGGATCCTTACAGGGTAGGCAGGGATAGGCTGACCCCAAGGGCACATGCAACATCTGGACATTCCAAAGCCCATTTTGCAAACTAGAAAATAGGGATCCTGAGAGGCGAGGTGTCCTGCCCTGTGGCAGGAGGCTGGCAAGCCAGGCAGCAGCCCAGTCACGGAGGACCTCTGTAGTGAGGAGTAGGTAGCTATGGAATGTTTTTGATTAGGGAGGTGGGGAATGAGCTGTGCATGGTAGTAAAGGGGCAGGAAGGGAACTCATTTCCACTGAGCACCTGCCAAGCCCAGGGCTGGGCTTTTGGATCTGCATTTATTTTGTTTAATCCTTATGACAACCCTGTTAAGTAGACTTGTTTTCTTCATTTTTTCTCTTTTTTAATTTTTTTTCTTCATTTTTCTTATCTTTGAAACCTGAGGCTCAGAGGGGTTAAGTAAGTTACCTAAGGTCACATAGCCACTAGGAGGCACAGCTGAGAGTCAAGCCAGGTCTGGCTCCCAACTCTGTGGTTTCCAGGGCTCCCAGTTCAGCTAGTCTGGTGGGAAAAGCCAAGGGCCTTGAACGAGGCATTCTCTGGCTTAAGCTAGGGTCCCACTTGAGCTGGGGATGAGTTCCCTACTCTGAACAGGTAGTCAGCAAAGGTCCCTGGAAACCCTGGCAGAGGAAACAGTATAATGGTCCTGAGGCAGAAGGGTACTAGAGCTTTCAGGAACAGTAGGGAAGCTTTGTGGCTGGAGCTGCATGAACAGGAGGGGGATGAAGACAGAAACGAAGTTCGCAAGGGACACTGCCAGATAATGCAGGGCTTCATGGGACCAGTGAGGACTTCGGATTCTGTTCTAGATGACGGAAGTGTGCTGGTTTGAATGCCAGCTGAGAAGAATGCCCTGGAGGGACCCAGTGGGTGTTAGGGAAATATGAGGACACCACAGCTTTCTGAGGGTGCCTGGGGCAGTTGGATGAGGGGGTCTAGGGTCAAGAGCAAGGCGTTGCACTAAGTGGGGAGGTGAGAGCCCTGGGCTAGAGCAGTACCCAAAGCTCGAAAGGCCTGATGTACCCAGGGTTTGTGCTCAGGTGGCTAGTGTGGACAGAGAGGGCCTGCGGTGTGGGAGGGGCAGAGGAGCAGCAGTGTCTCCCCACGTTCCTTCTTCCTACTTCCCCATCCTGCTCTACCACTACCTGGGAATCCCCTGACCCTGCCTGGCTGTCAGACCGCCCCCAGGTTCAGTGTGTCAGGACCTACAAGGCTCTGCAGCCAGATGAATTGACCTTGGAGAAGACTGACATCCTGGCAGTGAAGACTCGGACCAGTGACGGTGAGGGGTCCAGGTGTCGGGAGGCAGCTACCTGCTAAGATGTCACAGGGAAAAGTTATGTGAGAGAGAACATCCATCAGCCACAGCGTGTGGGTGTCAGGTTAGACAGGAAGGACTTCAGCTGATGGGGAGAGTGGGTGTCAAGGAAAAGCAGGTCAGAGGAGCATCTCCAAGCAGCTAGAGGCTGCCTCCTTCCTGGAGCTGGGCAATGCTGAGGTGAGGGCACCTGGGCTCAGGCTTGTGTCAGGCCTGCTGTACTTTCAGCGTCACGATGCTGCTGTCCCTAGGCTGGCTGGAGGGAGTGCGCCTGGCGGATGGTGAGAAGGGATGGGTGCCCCAGGCCTACGTGGAGGAGATTGGCAGCCTCAGCGCCCGGCTCCGTAACCTTCGTGAGAACAAGCGGCTCACGAGTGCCAGCAGCAAGCATGGGGAGCCCCTCGCATGATGGCAGCCACAACCCAGGATGGCCTCTCTGTGCCTGGCTCCCACTCGGTTCCCAGGTTCCTACAGTGGCTCCGTGCCCCAGGCCTCGGTTGCTGGCCCTTCCTTCCGTCTGTGGTCCTGGCCTGGACTCAGCAGTGGGGGCCTCCAAGGGGTCTCCCTGTCCTCATGCTCCCTGGTGTCCACACCTCAGGGCCGAGGGCAAGAGCTGCACCCTCCCTGTTCCACTTGCCGGAGCAAGGGCCTGTGGGAGACACTCTGGGGCTGATGGGTCTGGAACCTGCATGACTGTAGAGCCTTCTCCATCACCTTCCCAGCCAGAACCGAGTGGCTGCTGGTGCTGGTGCTGGTGCTGGTGCTGTGACTTCTCTGTAAATAAACTCCTGTGCCTTTGCTGGGAGTCTGCTGCCCGGCCCAGGCATCCCCAACTTCAGATCTCCAGGTCTCTGGCTGCCTCCCCGGGAATTGCCTTTGTCCAGAATTCTCAACTAGGAGAGGACCCTGGGGGCAGAGGGGCTGTGTGCCAGTTAGATTGCTTTCTGCTGCAAGTAACAAAACGTCTGGTTCAAGCAGGCTGAGATATTAAAGAGACTGTTGGTTCTTGTATTATTTCCTCTGGCTTCTGTGACAAATCAGTGCAAACAGGGTGACATAAAACCATGGAAATGAGCAGGGGGTGGTGGTGAGCTACACCTCCAATCCATTTTGCTCTGGTTATTTTTAGAGATGGGAGTCTTGTGAACTCTTTGCCTGAGCTGGCCTTGAACCACAATCCTCCT